TGGGTCTTCGACTCTATAGAGATAGATTGAAGGGGATAATAGGATTATCCTAGTCTACTTACATTGACAAAATAGTCAAGAGATACAACATGGAGAACTCCAAGAAAGGAAATGTTCCTTTCAGGCATGGGGTCACTCTCTCTAAGGGTATGTTTCCCAAGACTCCCGAAGAGATTGAGGGCATGAAAGAGGTTCCCTATGCCTCAGCCATAGGGAGTATCATGTATGCCATGCTGTGCACTCATCCTGACATTTCTCAAGCAGTGAGTGTGGTAAGCAGATACCAATCTAACACAGGGCAAGAGCATTGGACCACTATGAAAAATATACTAAAATACCTTCGAAGGACAAGAGAGTTTTGTCTGGTATTCGATGGTAGTTCACTACAGATCTAGGGGTATACTGATGCTGATTTTTAGTCAGATCCAGATGATCGAAAATCTACATTTGGTTATATCTTCACGATAGGATCGTGTGTTGTGATGTGTACGCATGCTGCACATCATTTTTATTGATGTATACATGGTTTTAATGATGTTTTGCAATGGTTTTTACCCTAATTGAGCAGAATTCCAAGAAAATAAGAGTTTGGGGCAATCTAGGGTGAAGAAAGCATACTTTGGCCCATCAAGAAGGAAAGCCCAGCCGAGACCCCATGGGAAGCACTAAAGCCACCAAGGAGAGAGGCCCAACTACAGCCCATCCGAAACCTTATTGGAGAACAGCAGTTCAGACCATCAAGGAGAACATCCCAACTGCAGTTCGGCCCACCAAGAACAATAGCCCAACTACAGCTCTAAGGGAGGCTCCAAAAAGGCGGTTGACCTTAGAGAAGAAGGAATGGCTGAAAGGAAGAGTTTAAAAAGAAAAGAAAAAACAGGAACTAGGGTTCGGACCCCTGAAGACAAAACCAAAGAAGAAGAAGAAGAACTTCTAGAGAAGAGAGAAGGCTGTTGAATGCGAATTGAAGAGTAGGTCGAAGGTTGACGCAGAAATCTTAGGTTGTCTCCTTCTTTAATTCTGCAAATTCGGTAACCTAGATTCGACTAGGGTTTCATGATTTTTCTTTATTGAATCTTTCTTTCTTTCTTTCTTTTATGCGAACCATGATGGACTTCAAATCTAATATGTAATTAAAATTTTAGCATATCCGATTGATTGTGATTTATTCTTGGGATTTCTTGATTAGGGTTTTCGATTAATAGAATAATCTTGTCCGAATTGTTCTAATTTCTTGAATTGCTTGAATTACTTGAGGAAGAGTTTAGGTAATCAGACCATCTAATCAAAAAAACGGATTGAATGCATCTTAGAGATAAGTTTCATAGTTCATTTGGCATCCATTCATACCTGAATTGATGACCTTCGAATTCTTTATTCTTAATGCATCTATGGCGATTAAATTTCTAATAGAGATATAGGAATTATTGCTCATAGATAGAGTGGGTTGTGCTCAAGAGAGGCTGCTCATACAATTAGGGTTTCGCCAACCCAAGACTCAACTCACTTCAGTTGGGCTGCTTAAAGATTTAAGTGCTAAATCGGTTCTACTAGTTCTTGCATGCAGTATTTCCTCTTATCATTAAAGGCGGTCTGATCCGAAACTGCTTAGGGTAATTTGATAGTTAGGAGTTAGGTTTTTCTTTGTTCAATCTTTCGGTT